GGGGCCACCAAATGCCACTCTCTCCACCCACACACCCACAGCCCCAACACCTGGGAGGATCTGTCACTGGTTTAGTCCTAAATAGCATCCTATCCTATACCCTATATAGTACACTACTTTTGACCAGAGCCCTATGGGCCCAGGTTATAAGTATTAAACAATAATGCGAATAGGATGTTATTTCGGATCCAGTTACTGTCATTGTCACAGTTTCAAATCAGGCTAGAGTTTGGAGATTGTCCCTGGGCTAATTTGAAATAATAGTCATTTAGTGGGTTCTCACATTTGTCCTGTTTCACACATGAACAAGTGTGTATCATACACATATGTGAAATGGCTATGTGTTTTCGCATATCTCAACTCTCCCTGAGAGGCCCTTGGAGAGTGAGGTCATAGCCAGGGTCTACATTATGAACAGCGACCGTGTAGCAATTAAGGTTAAGTGCATTGCTCAAGGGTACATCGGCAGATATTTCGTCAGGGATTCAAACTAGCAACCTTTCAGTTACTGCCACCCACAAGAGACCCTGAAAACGGTGTAGGGAAAGCCCATCTCACACCTCTCCTGTCTCCTGTCACCTCTCCATGCAGAACTATCATCCCCTCATCCAGGGATCCCCCAGTAGGGGGAGGGAGGGAGGGCCATTGGTATGGATCTTAGCATCATTACCTATTAACAGGAGTTTTTTTATTTAAACATGTTTCATGTTTGTGAGGTTCCCACAGTATTTATTTGTAAAGGCTCAGTAACATTTCCATTAAATAATTCATTCTATGCTTTCAGGGATTAAGTCGAGTGCTCACAGTCCGTCGAAAGGGCATGCATGACCAAATGCTATACTGGCATGTTGAACCAAGGTGGCGAGAGCCTTGCTTTTGAAAGACACACGCAGGCACCACACAGCGGAACACACACACACGCCTCACAAGCTAAATACAAATCACATTTTATTTGTCAGATGTATAAAAGTAAGATGCTTACTTACGGCTCATTTTCAAACAGTGCAGAGTAATAGTGACACAAGGAATAAATACACAGTGAATAACGAATAATAAATAAGAGAAAAAAATAACATGGCTATATACAGGGAGTACCTGGTAATAGCATGGCTATATTCAGGGAGTACCTGGTAATAACATGGCTATATTCAGGGAGTACCTGGTAATAACATGGCTATATTCAGGGAGTACCTGGTAATAACATGGCTATATACAGGGAGTACCTGGTAATAACATGGCTATATACAGGGAGTACCAGGTAATAACATGGCTATATACAGGGAGTACCTGGTAATAACATGGCTATATACAGGGAGTACCAGGTAATAACATGGCTATATACAGGGAGTACCAGGTAATAACATGGCTATATACATGGAGTACCTGGTAATAACATGGCTATATTCAGGGAGTACCAGGTAATAACATGGCTATATTCAGGGAGTACCTGGTAATAACATGGCTATATACAGGGAGTACCTGGTAATAACATGGCTATATACAGGGAGTACCTGGTAATAACATGGCTAATACATGGCATATAAGGGCAGTACCTGTTTCTACCGAAGAGAGTGCTGGGGAAGGTTGGTACCAGGTAATAACATGGACTAATTCAGGGAGTACCAGTACCGAATAGATGTGCGGGGTAACAGGGTAAATAACATGGCTAATACAGGGAGTACCGTACGAATAGATGGCAGGGGTACCAGGTAATAAACAGGGCTATACAAAGGGGAGTACCAGTACGAATACAAGTTCAGGGTGGTACCACTGTAATAACATGGCATATAAAGGAGTACCGTAGCGAATAGAGTTGCAGGCAGGACCAGGGACTAAATGGCTATATACAGGGAGTACCCAGATTACCAGAATAGTGTGCAGAGTGGTACAGGTAAAACATGGCTATATACAGGGCAGTAAGTACCAGTACCGAATCAATGTTCAGGGTACAAGGTATAACATGGCTATATACAGGGGAGATCCAGTACCAAGTCGATGTTCAGGGGTACGAGGTAATAACATGGCTATATACAGGGAGAACCAGTACCGAATCGATGTTCAGGGGTTTGAGGTAATAACACGGCTATATACAGGGAGAACCAGTACCGAATCGATGTGCAGGGGTTTGAGGTAATTGAGGTAGCAATGTACAGTACATACAGTTTCTTCAGAAAGTATTCATACCCCTTGACTTATTCCACATTTTGTTGTGTTACAGCCTGAATTCAAAATGGATTCAATATATTTTTTATATATATATACCCATCTACAATATACCCATCTACACACAATACCCCATAATGACAAAGTGAAACATATTTTTTTAAATTTCAGCAAATGTATTGTAAATGAAATACAGAAACATCTCATTTACATAAGTATTCACACCCCTAAGTCAATACTTGGTAGAAGCACTTTTGGCAGCGATTACAGCTGTTTATTGGAAAGTCTCTAACAGCTTTCCACACCTGGATTGTGCAACATTTGCCCATTATTCTTTTCAAAATTCTTCAACATCTGTCACATTTTTGTTGATCATTACTAGACAACCATTTTCAGGTCTTGCCATATATTTTCAAGTAGATTTAAGTCAAAACTGTAACTAGGCCACTCAGGAGCATTCACTGTCATCTTGGTAAGCAACTCCAGTGTAGATTTGGCCTTGTGTTTTAGGTTATTGTCCTGCTGGAAGGTGAATTAATCTCCCAGTGTCTGGTAGAAAGCAGACTGAACCAGGTTTTCCTCTAGGATTTTGCCTGTGCTTAGCTGCATTCTGTTTCTTTTTTATCCTGAAAAATTCCCCAGTCCTTAATGATTACAAGCATACCCATAACATGACGCAGCCACCACTATGCTTGAAAATATGGAAAGTGTTCCTCAGCAATGGGTTGTACTGGATTTGCCCAAAACATTACACGTTGTATTCAGGACAAGTTAATTGCTTTGCCACATTTTTTGCAGTATTACTTTAGTGCCTTGCTGCAAACAGGATGCCTGTTTTGGAATATTTTTTATTCTGTACAGGCTTCCTTCTTCTCACTCTGTCAATTAGGTTAGTATTGTGGAGTAACTACAGTGTTGTTGTTCCATCCTCAGTTTTCTCCTAACACAGCCATTAAACTCTGTAACTTTTTAAAAGTCATCCTTGGCCTCATGGTGAAATCCCTGAGCTGTTTCCTTCCTCTCCGGCAACTGAGTTAGGAAGGACGCCTGTATCTTTGTAGTGACTGGGTGTATTGATACACCATCCAAAGTGTAATTAATAACTTAATAATAAGGGATATTCAATGTATGTTTATTTTTATGTACCAATAGGTGCCCTTCTTTGCGAGGCATTGGAAAACCTCCCAGGTCTTTGTGGTTGAATCTGTGTTTGAAATTCACTGCTCAACCGAGGGACCTTACAGATAATTGTATGTGTGGGGTACAAAGATGAGGTAGTCATTTAAAAATGAATCATGTTAAACACTATTATTGCACACAGAGTGAGTCCATGCATCTTATTATGTAACTTGTTAAGCACATTATGATGCAAATGACACTACAACATTCTATAGCAGCCATGTTAGATCCCCAATTAAAATGACATGGGGAATATTTTAATAAAGCTATGTAACTGAATGTCTAGAATTAGAACAATATTAAACATTCTGAAAGTTTGCCCAACTCTCTAAATACATAGCTCTGGTGATTAGGCACAGAGCCATACCAGTAACCCAGTATATACATACAGGAGGTAGGGGTAAAGTGACTAGGAAACAGGATAGATCATAGACAGTAGCAGCAGCAGCGTACGTGGTGAGTATGAAAGTGTGTGGGCGTATGTAGTGTGTGTGTGTGTGTGTGTGTGTGTGTTGGGGAGTTAGTGTAAGCGTGTGTGAGTGTGTGGGTGGAATCCAGTGTGTGTGTAGAGTCAATGACCATGCTCTTCGATTGGTTAAATGTTGTGTGATGATTGACCTTGATAACTGGTCCAGGGTCAAGCCTGGAGGTTATAACCTCAACAGACCCATTAAAATACACTGTCTTTGTTCCAAATGGCACCCTATTCCCTATATAGTGCACTACTTTTGACTATGGCCCAAGGGGAATAGAGTTCCATTGTTTGCCCCAGAGCATCTTAGGTATGAAAATGGATATGGATCTTGGATTCCCGCAGTTTAGTCTCTAAAGCCAAAGGTACCCCAGGGAACCATTGAATGTGTTTAGATGTCCATCAGCGTGGTGAGGTTATAGGCTTAGTTGGTGATGTGTTTCTTCCTTACCCACCATGTTTGTGCTACAAAGGACCAGTGTCGCTGTTTGCCTGCCTCGTACTGTCTTCACACATTAAGACATTAAATTAACGAGTCCATTTATTATCTTTATTGCACTCATTTTCTCTCTGGGCGAATGTGGGCGAACACAACAAGGCAACGTGTCTGTGTCTCTAGCTAGTGAGACGGAGAACAAGCTTTTTTCAAGCAGAGACACATCAATCGAGTTCAAATCGTTCGTCTTTATTGAAAATCTTGATTATTCTTTTCACAGTGATCAAAAGATTACCATAACACATTGTCGTGATCCTCAAAACGTATGGTTTAGTAGAAATTGTAGTTTGCTTTATACTGTAGTTTACCTTTGAGAGTATCCCATTGCCTCTCTCTAGGACTACGCCACAGAATCATCCAGATGGATAGGTTATTTCCCAATTTGGTCTCCAGAAAGGTATTAGAGAATTTATACAGCTAGTTCCTTATCGAGGGAGTCATTGTGTGCTGTAAATTCTCAACTGATCTAATCTACTCTGTGGTCATGAATTCTGATGAACAGGGAGACACTGCCTTTAAGAAAACATCTACAGTAGGCCTACTGTCAAAACAAGTTAATATGGAAACATATAATGACATAAATGATGTAATATTTTATTAAATTCCAACAGTTAATGAAATGATTAGATTTGCTTGTAAATTCTCAACCATCTTTATTGCAATAGCTTTTCTACTCATCAGCTTTTCTCCAAAGACATTTTGGTAGGCCTACATTTCTACATAATACCGTACATACAGCTGTGAAATATGTCTACAGTGTTTGTGTAGCACAGTAAATATTGATCTATTTACTTTTAATAATGAAGATGATTTGTAAAAACTGGTTCAGTTCTACAATGGCTTTGTGAAACTAAAACCCATAATCACAGAATTATATAATTTCGTCCAGTGAAGTTCTCAACTGCGTTACTTCGATACTTTCATGGATGCCTGCCAATATGATATCCGACCCAGGGAGGAATTCTCTGCATGAAATGCTCCGTTGCGATGCAACCTGAAAGGGACAGCAGGTGAATATGTTTAGAGAGGATGTTTAACATAAATATAATGCAGTGATAATAAATAAGTATTGCTCTCTTATAATTTTTTATATATTTTTCTATTTGTTTAGTATATTTTCCCCTTATTTTTATTTTTTGTTTTATGTATTTATTTTTTAGGGGGTAGATCAGCTTTAATATTGCAGATATATTGTAACTTCCATCAATGTAATTGTCTGCATCACTTCCAATCCCCCATATGTTGTTTTTTTCCCGCAAATATATCTATATACATATACATACATACACATACATACAGTGGGGAGAACAAGTATTTGATACACTGCCGATTTTGCAGGTTTTCCTACTTACAAAGCATGTAGAGGTCTGTAATTTTGCACACACTGCAGCAGGGATTTTGGCCCACTCCTCCATACAGACCTTCTCCAGATCCTTCAGGTTTCGGGGCTGTCGCTGGGCAATACGGACTTTCAGCTCCCTCCAAAGATGTTCTATTCGGTTCAGGTCTGGAGACTGGCTAGGCCACTCCAGGACCTTGAGATGCTTCTTACGGAGCCACTGCTTAGTTGCCCTGGCTGTGTGTTTCGGGTCGTTGTCATGCTGGAAGACCCAGCCACGACCCATCTTCAATGCTCTTACTGAGGGAAGGAGGTTGTTGGCCAAGATCTCGCGATACATGGCCCCATCCATCCTCCCCTCAATACGGTGCAGTCGTCCTGTCCCCTTTGCAGAAAAGCATCCCCAAAGAATGATGTTTCCACCTCCATGCTTCACGGTTGGGATGGTGTTTTTGGGGTTGTACTCATCCTTCTTCTTCCTCCAAACACGGCGAGTGGAGTTTAGACCAAAAAGCTCTATTTTTGTCTCATCAGACCACATTACCTTCTCCCATTCCTCCTATGGATCATCCAGATGGTCATTGGCAAACTTCAGACGGGCCTGGACATGCGCTGGCTTGAGCAGGGGGACCTTGCGTGCGCTGCAGGATTTTAATCCATGACGGCGTAGTGTGTTACTAATGGTTTTCTTTGAGACTGTGGTCCCAGCTCTCTTCAGGTCATTGACCAGGTCCTGCCGTGTAGTTCTGGACTGATCCCTCACCTTCCTCATGATCATTGATGCCCCACGAGGTGAGATCTTGCATGGAGCCCCAGACCGAGGATGATTGACCGTCATCTTGAACTTCTTCCATTTTCTAATAATTGCGCCAACAGTTGTTGCCTTCCCAACAAGCTGCTTGCCTATTGTCCTGTAGCCCATCCCAGCCTTGTGCAGGTCTACAATTGTATCCCTGATGTCCTTACACAGCTCTCTGGCCTTGGCCATTGTGGAGAGGTTGGAGTCTGTTTGATTGAGTGTGTGGACAGGTGTCTTTTATACAGGTAACGAGTTCAAACAGGTGCAGTTAATGAGTAGAGAACAGGAGGGCTTCTTAAAGAAAAACTAACAGGTCTGTGAGTGCCAGAATTCTTACTGGTTGGTAGGTGATCAAATACTTATGTCATCATGCAATAAAATGCTAAATTAATTACTTAAAAATCATACAATGTGATTTTCTGGATTTTTGTTTTAGATTCCGTCTCTCACAGTTGAAGTGTACCTATGATAAAAATTACAGACCTCTACATGCTGTCACGGTTCACTACGACAGAACCCAGAAGCAGACCAGGACGAGGTGAGTTGAACGAAGGTGAGTATTTATTAACAGATTCAAAAAAGATGCAGAGTAATCCAGGAGACGGAGCGGGCGGCGGAGATGAGTTGGTGGAGGTGAAGTGGCAGATCCAATGATGGCACCTCCGACCATACCCCTCCCAGTCCACGAGATACTGGAAACCCCGGCCCCGCCGTCTGGAATCCATGATGCGGCGCACCATGTAGACAGGACCTCCTCCGATCATCCGAGGAGGAGGAGGAGGAGGGGGCAACAGAGGGCTGAGGAGAACAGGCTTGAGGCAGGAGACATGGAAGGTGGGCTGGACTCTGAGCGTACTAGGCAACTTGAGTCGAACCACAACAGGATTAATCACTCGCTCTACCACAAACGGACCAATGAACCTCGGCGACAGTTTCCTTGACTCAGTCCGCAGAGGAAGGTCCCGTGTAGCCAACCAGACCCTATCTCCGATGGCATAAGCGGGGGCTGGAATACGGCGACGATTCGCCTGGAGCTGATACCGGTCAGAAACTCTAAGGAGGGCCTTTCTGGCCCGATGCCAGGTCCGGTGGCAACGACGAATGTGGGCCTGGACAGAGGGAACCGAGAGATCCCTCTCCTGAGAAGGAAACAAGGGGGGTTGGAAGCCGTATAGGCACTGGAAGGGAGACATCCCAGTGGCAGAAGTAGGGAGAGTATTGTGGGCATACTCAACCCAAGGCAACTGAGAGACCCAAGAGGTGGGGTTGGAAAAAAGGCAGAGCAGCATGGATTCCATCTTCTGGTTGGCTCTCTCCGCCTGTCCATTAGATTGGGGGTGAAATCCAGATGTGAGACTGACTGTAGCTCCAATGGCCAAACAGAAGGATTTCCAGACAGCAGAGGTGAACTGAGGGCCACGGTCGGAAACTATGTCACTGGGCAATCCGTGGACCCTGAAAACCTCCCTAACCAGGATCTTGGACGTCTCAGAGGCAGAGGGAAGCTTGGAGATGGGTACAAAGTGGGCGAACTTGCTGAATCTGTCCACAATAGTCAGAATGACCGTGTTCCCCTCAGAAGAGGGTAACCCAGTGACAAAGTCCAGGGCCAGATGCGACCATGGTCGCCGGGGGATCGGTAGGGGGTGAAGAAGTCCAGAGCTGGGCCGATTGGCACTCTTGTTCTGCGCACAAACTGGACAGGCAGCAACAAACCTCAGAGTATCTTCTCCCATGGCAGGCCACCAAAATCGCCTGCGTAGAAGCGCCATCGTCCGAGCCACGCCAGGGTGACAAGCCATCTTGCTGGCGTGGGACCATTGGAGGACAGCCGAACGGACCGACTCAGGCACAAACAACCGACCGGGTGGACCGTTACCGGGGCCGGGCTGCGTCCGAAGGGCCGCCATAACCTCCTCCTCAATCCTCCATAAAACGGCTCCCACGACAAGGTTCCGGGGAAGAATCATCTCAGTCTTGGCCCCACTCTCCTCCGTCTTGGAGAACATCCGGGACAAGGCGTCCGCCTTGCCGTTCTTAGACCCCGGTCGGAACGTCAAGGAAAAATTAAAGCGTCCAAAAAACAACGACCACCTGGCCTGACGGGAGTTGAGACGTTTAGCCGATTTCACGTAAGCAAGATTCTTGTGGTCAGTCCAGACAACAAACGGTTGCTCCGCCCCCTATAACCAGTGGCGCCACTCCTCCAAGGCAAGTTTCACCGCGAGGAGCTCCCGGTTACCCACATCGTAGTTCCTCTCCGCAGACGAAAGACGACGAGAGTAGTAGGCGCAGGGATGGAGTTTACCGTCAGTGGAGCATCGCTGGGACAGGATGGTGCCAACCCCCACATCAGACGCATCCACTTCAACGACAAACTGACGGGCAGTGTCAGGTTGAGAGAGAATCGGAGCGTTGGTGAATCGCCTCTTCAAATCCAGAAATGCTCGGTCCGCCTCAGGATTCCAACTGAATGTTCTGGTACTAGAAGTCAGGGCAGTTAAAGGAGCGGCCACACGACTGTAATCACGGATAAATCTACGATAGAAATTCGCAACCCCAGAAACCTCTGGAGCTGCAATCTCGTACCGGGCTGGGCCCAATCCAGAACCGCCCTAACCTTCTCTTGGTCCATCCTAATCTCTCCCCTGGAGATGATGTACCCGAGGAAGGATGTAGTGTGGGCGTGAAATTCACACTTCTCGGCCTTCACAAACAGGCGATTCTCCAACAATCGCTGCAGAACCTGCTTGACATGCTGGACGTGGCTGGAAAGCTCCTTAGAGAAGATAAGAATGTCATCCAGGTAAACAAACACAAAAAGACCGATCATATCTCTCAGGACGTCATTCACCATACTCTGGAACACTGCTGGGGCATTGGTCAGTCCAAACGGCATCACCTGATACTCGAAATGACCCATCGGTGTATTGAAACCAGTCAACCACTCGTCCCCCTCTCTGATCCGGACCAGATGATACGCACTGCGTAGGTCCAGCTTGGTGAACACAGTAGCACCCTGTAAGGAGTCGAAAGCAGAGCTCATCAAGGGCTGGGGATACTTGTTCTTGACCGTGATATCATTCAACCCCCGATAATCAATACAAGGTCGAACAGAGCCATCCTTTTTACTCACAAAGAAGAATCCTGATCCCAGGGGTGATGACGAGGGACGAATGAGACCAGCAGCTAGGGACTCCTTTATGTAGGTCTCCAAAGCCTCACGTTCAGGTCGGGAGATGCTGTATAACCGTACCCTTGGGATAGGCAGCTCCAGGGAACAGGTTTATGGCACAATCATATGGTCGGTGGGGAGGGAGTGACAGAGCCCTCTGCTTACTGAACACTTCCCCCAAATCGTGATATGTTTCGGGAACAGGTTAGCCTCAATGACCTGACTGGGAACAGAATGGGAACAGGCAGTCTTGAGGCAGTTAGCATTACAATCAATGCTCCAACTAGTTACCTTGCCAGTCACCCAATCGAACGTGGGATTGTGTTCTTTCAGCCAGGGGTAACCAAGGACCAGAGGAACATGGGGAGAAGGCAGAATGAAGAATGAGATAACCTCATAATGATTCCCTGACAACAGCATCTTAACCGGTTCAGTCCTCATCGTGATACGTGCCAGACTACTGCCGTTCAGAGTGGTAGCTTCAATGGCTTCCGGTAATCGCTCCTTGGGAAGCCCCAGCTGTTCCACCACGTCGGCATCAATAAAGCTGCCATCGGCACCTGAATCGACGAAAGCGTTAATCGCTAAACTCTGATTCCTGTTCATGAGGGTAGCCGGGAAACGGGGTCTGACAGGGGTATTGAGAGGTTGAAACCGGCTCGCTAAAAGTCCTCCCAAACTTAGCGAGCCGGGCAGTTTGACGGCCGCTGGGAACAAGTGGAGATGTGATGTCCCGAACTCCCACAGTAGAGGCAGCGGTTGGTCTCACGTCGATGTTGGCGCTCCTCCTTGGTTAACCCGTGCCGCCCCACTTGCATGGGTTCAGAATCTGGAGGCAGGACCTCTCCACTAATCCTGTGTGGTGGACAATGATCGATGCGTTCTGGTCCACCTCCTGACCCGACTGGGAACCGAGAAGCTGATTGATTGGACGGGCCCCATTGCTTCTCCCTCCTTCTCTCTCGAACTCTGTTATCCACCCGAATAGAAAAGGCTACCAAACTGTCTAGGTCACTAGGCTCCGGATAGGAGATCAACTCATCCTTGAGTTGCTCCGACAACCCCTGATAAAAGGCCGCTTGCAATGACTCTTCATTCCACCCACTCTCCACAGCCAATGTCCTGAATTCGATTACGAAGTCGGCAACTCTGCGAGCTCCTTGGCGAAGAGAAAACAGGCGCTTAGCTGCGTCCTTACCTCGGACTGGATGGTCAAACAGCTTCCTCATCTCTGCCGTGAACTCCTGGTATGACGCCATGCAGGTGTCCTGTCGTTCCCATACGGCTGAAGCCCACTCCAGGGCTCTACCACGCAGCAATTCAATAACAAAGGCTATCCTAGCCTTGTCTGTGGCGTAAGAGTGGGGCTGTAGATCGAACACTGTTCCACACTGCATAAGAAAGGAATGGCATCTTCCCAAATCCCCTTCATACTTATCAGGCGTCGGAACCTGGGGCTCACGGAAGGGCACAGCCCCAGAAGCGGCAGGCGAGAGGGGTGAAACCTGAGCTGAGCCTGGATCTTCGTCAGACTGGTAGAAAAGTTCAGAACCGACAACGCTATCTCCTGTAGCGCCGTGCTGTGTTGTCCCAACATCTTTTCCTGATGGGTAATGGCATGGCGAACAGAATCCAGGTCCGCTGGGTTCATTTCTGGCCGGATCGTTCTGTCACGGTTCACTACGACAGAACCCAGAAGCAGACCAGGACGAGGTGAGTTGAACGAAGGTGAGTATTTATTAACAGATTCAAAAAAGATGCAGAGTAATCCAGGAGACGGAGCGGGCGGCGGAGATGAGTTGGTGGAGGTGAAGTGGCAGATCCAATGATGGCACGGCAGCCGCCGACAACCAGTCAGGGGTTGGGTGAAGGTCCCGGGAGAATGACTGTAGACAGAAAAAAAACGGAGGTAAGTACACGGCAGGCCAACAAGGTGCAAAACAACAAAACTAACGCTAGTAACTCAGAGGCTGATACGCTGACAAAACATGCTGTTCATGGCTAACGATCCGGCAGGGAATGGATGTCAGATCAGAGCTTATGAAGGGGTGATGATCAGGACCAGGTGTGCCGAAGCTGATGAGAAGCAGGTGCGGGTAATCGAGAGATCACCCGCCTAGCAACGTCGCCCGGCAACTGGACAGGGTGCGTTCAGGAACCTTCAGGAAACAGGAGATTCAGAGCAGAAAAACGGCAACACAGGCAGGAACAGACTCAGGACGCAGGGTTCATGACACATGCTTTGTAAGTAGGAAAACCTGCAAAATCGGCAGTGTATCAAATACTTGTTCTCCCCACTGTATACACATACATCATATAAATACATATACATACATATATATACATGTCCTTTTTTAAAATATATTTTCCTTTATTACTTTCCAACCCCACCACCCCTCCCCTAATTGGAGTAAACTAGTGAACAACAACGTTTAGGCCTCTACATCCAGCTTATACATACTATATACATTTTATGGACACAGTCAATTTGACAATAATTATATTTTGTTTGTTTTTACTCCTGAACTTCCTCTACCCTCAACCTCTCGATCATTTTCATGATGTCCATCCGGTTTGCATCTATATGCCATATCTTTCTAACTGTGTTCTTTCACAAAAGCTCTCAACCTATACCCTATATACAGTTGAAGTCGGAAGTTTACATACACTTAGGTTGGAGTCATTAAAACTTGTTTTTCAACCACTCTACAAATTTCTTGTTAACAAACTATAGTTTTGGCAAGTCGGTTAGGACATCTACTTTGTGCATGACACAAGTATTTTTCCAACAATAGTTTACAGACAGATTATTTCACTTATAATTCACTGTATCACAATTCCAGTGGGTCAGAAGTTTACATACACTAAGTTGACTGTGCCTTTAAACAGCTTGGAAAATTCCAGTAAATGATGTCATTGCTTTAGAAGCTTCTGATAGGCTAATTTACATAATGTGAGTCAATTGGAGGTGTACCTGTGGATGTATTTCAAGGTCTACCTTCAAACTTAGTGCCTCTTTGCTTGACATCATGGGAAAATCAAAAGAAATCAGCCAAAACCTCAGAAAAAAAGTGTAGACCTCCACAAGTCTGGTTCATCCTTGGAAGCAATTTCCAAACACCTGAAGGTACCACGTTCATCTGTACAAACAATAGTACGCAAGTATAAACACCATGGGACCATGCAGCTGTCATACCGCTCAGGAAGGAGACGCGTTCTGTCTCCTAGAGATTAATGTACTTTTGTGCGAAAAGTGCAAATCAATCCCAGAACAACAGCAAAGGACCTTGTGAAGATGCTGGAGGAAACAGGTACAAAAATATCTATATCCACAGTAAAACGAGTCCTATATCGACATAACCTGAAAGGCCGCTCAGCAAGGAAGAAGCCACTGCTAAAAAAACGCCATAAAAAAGCAAGACTACGGTTTGCAACTGCACATGGAAATGTCCTCTGGTCTGATGAAACAAATAGCTGTGGGGGTGCTTTGCTGCAAGAGGGACTGGTGCACTTCACAAAATAGATGGCAACATGAGGAAGGAAAATTATGTGGATATATTGAAGACATCAATCAGGAAGTTAAAGCTTGGTCGCAAATGGGTCTTCCAAATGGACAATGACCCCAAGCATACTTCCAAAGTTGTGGCAAAATGGCTTAAGGACAACAAAGTCAAGGTATTGGAGTGGCCATCACAAATTCCTGACCTCAATCCTATAAAACATTTGTGGGCAGAACTGAAAAAGCATGTGCGAGCAAGGAGGCCTACAAACCTGACTCAGTTACACCAGCTCTGTCAGGAGGAATGGGCCAAAATTCACCCAACTTATTGTGGGAAGCTTGTGGAAGGCTACCCGAAACATTTGACCCAAGTTAAACAATTTAAAGGCAATGCTACAAAATACTAATTGAGTGTATTTAATCTTCTGACCCACTGGGAATGTGATGAAAGAAATAAAAGCTTAAATAAATCATTCTCTCTGCAATTATTCTGACATTTCACATTCTTAAAATAAAGTGGTGATCCTAACTGACCTAAGACAGGGAATTTTTTACAGGGTTTAAATGTCAGGAATTGTTATGGACACAGTATGCTTTACATTAGTTATCTTGTTGTTATTAGTTGTTGCAAGTAGTTATTAGTCCCATCCTTCAGCTCCATTCAACACCTCCCATCTATCTCTTAACACCATCCATATTGGATTTCTATTTGCCATATGTTTTTCAACTGTACTGTGATGTTTCACAAACGTTCTGAACCCTTCTATTCTCATTGTTTCTACAGATTGTAAATTGAAAATAAATATTTTTGCTAAAAGTATTATGTTATTGATCGATTGACTATGACTTTTCAGATCACCCAGTAGTGCTATCTTCAGGGTTGGCTCCAGGTAAATATTGCAATCCTTCAGCCATTCCTGGATCTGTGACCAAAAACAAGCTACAAATGGACATTACCAAAACAAATTATCTAATGATTCTTTCTCTTTGCAGCAAAATCTGCAGAGCTGAGAAGATTCTATCCCCCATATAAATAACATTCTATTGGTAGCAAGAACTTCTTATAATAATTTAAATTGAACAATTATAAGTTTTGAATCCGGCGTCGTTTTGCATATCAGTTCATAAACACTATGCCATGGAATCGGTACGTCAAAAATCTCTTCCCAACTATTTTGCAATCTATATGGGACGGCTGTCAATCCTTTGGTCCTTAAATGAAACTGGTATACTTTTTTATTTATCACAATTTTCTTTAACCAATTATGGTCTTTAATGCAGGGCCGACAGACAAGTTCCTTACTTTTCCCCCTTCCGCTTTCCTCTTTCATTTTTGCAGTAATGCTGCAATTATTTGGTTAGAGCAGACATTTCCATATGTTTTTGTTAGCTGCATGTGCGATAAAACTCCACCAGTCTTACCTATGATATTATTTAAGAAGATTATACATTTTATTTTACTTTATTTTTTTATAATGTTTTTTTTATCAGTTAGTATATTTGAGTTTAACAACAATATTTGTTGCATTATTTGTTCTGTCATTTCTGGAGGATTAAATTGAAATTGCAACCAACTTTATATGGCTTGTTTTAGAAATAGTGATATTGCTCTCTCAGTGCTAGACTATACCCACTGGGCACAGACGTCAATTCAACGTTTATTCCACGTTGGTTCAACATAATTTCATTGAAATTATATGGAAACAGCGTTGATTCAACCAGTGTGTGTGCAGTGGGTTAGATAGTGATGCATATACCATAGACACAGCGTCGTTTCTAATACAGTCAATGAAGACCGTGTCTGAAGCCAGAGTCTTGCAAACGAGACAGTTGATGTAGGGCTGCAGGACAGAAGAAAACATATCTACGTATCAACAATTCTTCAGACATCAAAACCTTCTCACCATAGACTTTCAACTTTCAACTCTTTCAAAATGTGCAATCATGCAAATATCCACACACACTTTTAAAACATATTTGTTTTTTTGTAAAATACATTGTACATCCTTGAGTAGAATTACAATACATGCAATTTAGCAGACGCTTTTATCCAGAGCAATTTACAGTCACGTGTGTATACATTATTTTGTATGGGCAGCCCCAGGAATCAAACCCACAATCCTGGCGTTGCAAGCGCCATGCCCCACCAACTGAGCCATACAGGAATCAATCCCAAAGTATTTCTTTACAACCCCAGAGTATACAGGGATTAGCTCTTTCAAGAAGAATCTGTTTTTGTTACTTACCCTTCCGGATTTAAACATGCATTCAGGGCGATGTTTGTATTCACTTGCTCCGTTGGCCATGGTACAAGTTGTTGACTTCAGGAGCATGTTGAATAAGGTGTAGTGTGGTTTGAACTGTAACAGACAGAAGAAAGGTGCTTTTGAAAGAGACCGACAAATACAGAGAGAAATGGCAGTGCCACTGTTGTTAAACTTGTTTTATATTCCTGTAAAACACTGTTTCTGTATGTAAAAACGTTCCAAAATTGTTTGTAATTATCACCTGACGGGGGACAATGGTGTAAAACCGTGTAATAAAGCTCCATTCTGGGATTTGAAAAACAACAAAATGAGGTCCCTGCCACTTGTTTTGGTATACAAGTGAGGGATGGGGTTAGGCAAACGTAACCCCTCTCAAATTACCATTGAACATCTTTCCAAATCCCAGACTGTAGTTTTAATTAATACACTTATGACCATATTAGCAAAACAGGGTCCTTACCACGGGTTCTCCAAGCGTTGTCATGTAATTCATGTGTTCTCCCCTCATCTTGTATTGCTTATTGGCATGTATGATAGCCATGTCCACATATTTCTTCTCCTCCTGGCTCAGTGTTTTGTATGTTTGTTGTCCAGTTGTGTTGATTATCAGAGTCGCTGCAGTGAGCAACAGAACATTTAGAAAGTGCTTCATTTTCCACTCGTTGCTCGCACACAGTTGGACTGAATGGGACTCTGCTCTGGGACATATACCTTCGTTTCTTCCCAAACGACACCCTATTCCCTTTAAAGTGCACAACTTTTGATCAGGGCTCTGGTCAAAAAATAGGGCACTATGTAGGAAACAGGGAGCCATTTGAGACACAGACCCTTCTCTCCAGCTGCGTAAAACATTAAACCGGAGATTTCAGCAGTCATTTATTACATATTAAAATGGAGCAACATGTTTGTTTATTTTGATGTGTGTTGTGTTTGTTTAAGACCAAGTCCACTTGATAAGAGATGGAACAAGGCAGAACCCTGAACTCTTAGAAAAAAAAGTGCTATCTAGACCCTAAAATGGTTCTTCGGCTGTCCCTTTTGGAGAACCCTTTGAATAACCTTTTTTGGTTCCATGAAGAACCCTTTCCACAGAGGGTTCTAACTGGAACCAAAAAAGATTATCCTATGAGGACAGCTGAAGAACCCCTTTGGAACCCTTTTAATTGTGCAGTAGGGCAATAATTACGCATGTTGATAAAATTCTGGTTCTCATGTGAATTTATGCAACAACTCTTCTAAATCATGTCCACGGCACAATTTAATTGTCATGGAGAGTGTTGTGTTGGTGTTTATGCTTTCACAATAATAAAGCTGTTGACTAAGGGATTTTCTCTAGTCTGGTGAGCATTAGTACTGCCAGATGTTCTCAAGTCAAATACTACTAAAAATCAGGGCCAATTCCATATTTATTCAAATTAACTTGGAATGAAACAGATTAACCAATAATCGCTACAGTAGCTGGGTTTCCATCCAATTGGAGACAGATTGTAATGTGAATATTCAAAAATCTGCATAAAGAAAATATGTGCATTTTCCCACAAGTGCTGGTTGGTTTCCACCAAACGGACTTGCTGATAAAAAATCAGTGCGTGACGAGGTAGTGCACACAAAATGTACTTTTTCGCTTAGGTTTTCATGTACCGAATAAAAATCTAAAGTTCAATGTGTTTCCATCTTAACTCTACCGATAAATAGCAAATGTGACTACTCTGGTCTTGGCACCTGCGTTCTAGCTAACAGATACAGTGCGGGTAGGCTGTGTGGGTAGGCTAGTCTACACTACATGATGAGATTATTATGGATAAGAGCGAGAATATTAGTATTTATCAAAAGGCAGTCAATTATCTATCATCATGTCACCAGAATAAGACCCTTGATATTTATTGGAAAGGAGCATCAAGCTCATCACTGTGCACTTTCACCACCCTGTGAAGTTCATCATAACTTATTTCATCTGTAGCCTAATAAACTGCATGGTTTCCCGAGTTGTAGTGGGAGGACCACACACCATATCATTGCATATCTCCATGTTTACTTTGATATGATGGTTATTAAATCAATATTTGCGCATAAAGGGATTTCCACCGCCATTTCTCGCATAACACATTTTACCAACACAAAAAGATCCCACCATGACGAACGAACAAATTATCTGTGGTCATTCATAAAATTGTACCGAAACGTTCTCTTTCCATCACAGCTGTAGTGATTATAGTCAGTATGTCTTTACTCGCATAAAATCTGTGGATGGAAACTTGATTACTGTCAGCTGAAGTGTTTGGTGCTTTGTAAAGAATGCTTGGATCTCAAATGGCACCCTATTGCCTATATAGTGCAGAGAGCCTCATAGAGCTCTGGTCAAAAGTAGTGAACTATATAGAATAGGGTACCAATTGGGATGCATCCAATGAGTTGTGAGGAAAACTTTAATTTTAGAGCTTGATTAATTAATTCACCATGCATTGCTTTTCATTTTTACATGACAAAATGTCCTAGTCACATGCTTATCAAGGTGGACTGTCCCACCCCAGCATGCAGAGGGCACTGCCCGGCCGGCAGCTGTTTCCAACTCCTAGCAAAACTCCTGGCTAAATTAGAATCCAAAATCCCAAAAATGCAATTAACACATGGAGCGTTAATTGTGGGATGCTTAAAGGAGAGGACAGGACAGGAAGATGGGAGGGGAGGGTTAGAGAGTTCTTATTCACCATCACCCTTCATACGACAGGTAATTAAAGAGAATCAGCCATCTCCTTCATGCTTGTCTATTATCACACACACACACATACACACACACACACACACACACACACACACACACACACACACACACACACACACACACACACACACACAACACACAAACACATACACACACACACACACACACACAAACACACACAAACACACACACAAACACACACACACACACACACACACACAAACACACACACACACACACACACACACACACACACTACTGAGAGAGATGATGTGGGCACTTCTGACAGCATAATGCTCCCATCTTGCCAAAGGGGGCTGGTGTGAGTGGTGAGGGCACTCTGACAGCAGTAGCTCTTTATTATAGCATACCAAAACACAAGGTTGTGGCAGACTCCAACATAGTCATACTGTAGGCATGATAGCCTGGCGGGTAGGAGTGTTGTGCCGATAACCGAAATGTTGCTGGATCAAATCCCCGAGCCAACAAGGGAAAAAACTGTCGTTCTGAGCAAGGCAGTTAACTCACTGTTACCCGGGTGCCGTGGATGTCTATTAAGGCAGCCCCCCGCACCTCTCTGATCCAGAGGGGTTGGGTTAAATGTGGAAGACACAGTTCAGTTGTACAACTGACTAGGTATCTCCTTTTCCAACATGTAGTAGTGTACAGACACAGGAAGGGATAAGAAGAGGGATAATGATTCTCCTCACCCCTGAATCAATATCCATTAGTCCATACTGGGATACTCTCTCTCTCTCTCTCTCGCGTGTGCGCTCTTCCGTAGTATTATATTATTTTGCCAGCTGCTCAGTATGTAGCCTACTCAGTAAGTATGTAAACAAAAGGCCACAGAGGCTTTGCAACGATGTGTAATACAGTCTGATCAGCAGCTGTATGGTCTCAGAGTAGGAGCACTGATCTAGGATCAGGTCCTTCCTGTCTGTCTAATCTTATTCATTGTGATAAAAAGAAAGACCCTAAATCAGCACTTCTGCTCTGAGATGCTTGATATGTACAGCACCAGGAGGTGTAAACAGAGACAGTCACCCTTCACACCAGAGCAGCCACAGTGAAGGGCAGAGTTGATGGGGTCAACTAAAAATCTATCACAGGCAAAAATGTCTTAATCTCTTCGTCCCAAGAACCACAATAACTCATACACGGTTATAGATAAACTGCCCAGGACTGGGATTTGTGGATTTGTGGTAGGCTATAATGTGTACTTACGATAAACTTGTGTACACTGCTTTCACTTAAAAAGGACTCTGGTCAAAGGTAGTGCACTATATAGGAAATAGGCTTCCATTTGGGACACAGTGACTGTCTTCCTCCACAAGAGTATAATAAAGGCTACATCCCAAATGCCACTCTATTCCCTACATAGTGCACTACTTTTGCCCAAAGCTGTATAGACCAGGAGCCATTTTGGATGCATCCCAGGTTTTAGGACTGACTTTGCCTAAGAAGAGACCGAGAGACAATGTGCTGGATTGACAAACCTCATGGCACACAACAAGCACTCCTTGATTTCCACACTCACTTACATGTGTATTCACTTCAGCCTAGTACACTACGCAGTGTGTTGCCATCTGGCCCATGCAGTGGAGAAAGTTAGAGAGGAGTGAAACTGAAAATGTGACACAGTGCCCTTGGGTGTGTGTGTGTGTGCGTGCGTGCGTGTGTGCGTGAGTGAGTGAGTGAATGTGTGTGTGTTTCCTTTCGTGTGTGTCAGTGTGTGTGCGACTCAGTGCCTTTGTGTGTGTCTGGGCTGTGTGATGGAGAAAGTAAACAATAATAATAGGCCATTTAGCAGACGCTTTTATCCAAAGCGACTAACAGTCATGCGTGCATACATTTTTTATTTTGGTGTATGGGTGGTCCCGGGGATCGAACCCACTACCTTAGCGTTACAAGCGCCGTGCTCTACCAGCTGAGCTACAGAGGACCACATAGCATACCAAACAACAATATATTCATGAGTCTCTTTAAGCTGAGATAAGGTCCCCCAATGACGAGAAAAACACAGAAAGGCCTTCCCTTAAAAAAATAAACACATGTCAAATTTGAATTTTCACATGTGAAATCGCTGTCCCATCTGGTTTGGGCTCAGTGGGACTATGATTCGTTTTTCAACAGGACAATGACCCAACACACCTCCAGGCTGTGTAAGGGCTATTTTACCATGAAGGAGAGCGATGGAGTGCTGCATCAGATGACCTAGCCTCCATAATCCCCCAACCTCAACCCAATTGAGATGGTTTGGGATGAGTCGGACGGCAGAGTGAAGGAAAAGCTGCCAACAAGTGCTCAGTATATGTGGGAACACCTTCAAGACTGTTATGAAAAGCATTCCAGGTGAAGCTGGTTGAGAGAATGCCAAGAGTGTGCAAAGCTGTCATCAAGGCAAAGGGTGGCTATTTGAAGAATCTCAAATCTCAAATATATTTTGATTTGTTTAACACTTCTTTGGTTACTACATGATTCCATATGTGTTATTTCATAGTTTTGATGTCTTTACTATTATTATATAATGTAAACAATAGTAAAAATAAAGAAAAACTCTTGAATGAGTAGGTGTGTCCAAACTTTTGACAGGTACTGTATATAAATAAAATTATATATATACAGTTGAAGTCGGAAGTTTACATACATTTAGGTTGGAGTCATTAAAACTAGATTTTCAACCACTCCACAAATGTCTTATTAACAAACTATAGTTTTGGCAAGTCAGTTAGGACATCTACTTTGTGCATAACACAAGTCATTTTTCCAACAATTGTTTACAGACAGATTATTTAACTTATAATTCACTGTATCACAATTCCAGTGGGTCAGAAGTTTACATACACTAAGTTGACTGTGCCTTTAAAAGCTTGGAACATTCCAGAAAATGATGTCATGGCTTTAGAAGCTTCTGATAGGCTAATTGGCATAATTTGAGTCAATTGGAGGTGTACCTGTGGATGTATTTCAAGGCCTACCTTCAAACTCAGTGCCT